TGTCTTCTCTCTTGGGTTATCATTTGATGCCATGACTGTTTCTGACTTCTCTACCCTCTGAATCATTCATGATTCTTTCTGTATGTTCAGGCAGATCTTAGAACTATAGAGAATTGCCATGCAAGGCATTCCTGATTCATTATTCCGTTACATTTTCTCACTCAGGGCACATTATCTTCGACAGATCATTCTTAGCTGAGTTTGACTTAACCAACTTTTACGAGCACCTGCTCTTTGACAGGTCCTGCACCAGCTGTTGGGTTATAGGGTGAATATATTAGTTATTAGATTTACAACTTAGAATTCAGATCACCTCTGTTAAGTTTTAGCTTGACAATAAAATCAACCAAATGAGCTGCTGCTGTGAATTTTGGATATAGGTGGACATATTTATTATTAAATGGAGGAACAGAAATAAGCTCTAATTAAAATGCAAACATTTAATAAGCTGTTAGCACTTCTAACCTTTCTTAAAAAAAAAAAAAGACATCATGGCTTGAAATACTGAAATGATACACATTTTGAAGTAGATCCTTACTAGTTGGATGGATGTTTAATGGTCAGAAAGTCCTAGGGGTTATAGTGGTAGGGGGTTGTTTTTGGTGTGGTTAATTTTGCTTTATAATTTTCCTATCTGCCACCATGTGGTTATTAAATATCAAGGCACTCAGTTACAGTATACAGTTCCTGAATTTGGGAGGAGGGGTGCTATCTTATTCTAGAAGGATTTATGTGTATCATCTCTTTTTCAAGTCAGTTGTGAACAATTCTGAATTGATTTAAAATTTGTAACCATAGATATTTAAAAAGAAAAGTAGTTTCTATTAATATTTCTTTGAAAATAAAGCCATTTAGATGATTCATAATAATTAGAAGCAATTCACATTAATTGACAATCTATTTTTTACTTAAGGTAACATTGATTTTTGCATTGTATGTTTCTTGTCTGCAACATTGTATTTTGACTTTTGTATGCACTTCAGTGTGCTCATCGCCAACAAATTAGTTTTCCTTTTAAAAAATATTCTTATTTATTTGGCTATACCAAGTCATAGTTGCAACATGTGGGATGTAGTTCCCAGACCAGGGATCGAACCCAGGTCTCCTGCGTTGGAAGCATGGAGTCTTAACCAGTGGACTACCAGGGAAGTCCCAACAAATTAGTGTTCATTCATCACCCTCCAGTTAATCCAGTTTACCTGTTTTGCCCTCCTCTCTCTTTTCTCCCTGGTAACACTACTCTGTTCTCTGTGGTGGTTGGTGGTTTAGTTGCTCAGTCATGTCTGTTTGCTAACTCATGGACTGTAGCCTGCCAGGCTCCTCTGTCCATGGTATTTTCCAGGCAAGAATACTGGAGTGTGTTGCCATTTCATTCTCCAGGGGATCTTCCCGATGTAGGGATCGAACTGCTGTCTCATGCATTGCAGGCAGATGTTATTTGTTTTGTTTTGGTTTGATCATTTGTGTTTGATTTTTATATTACACATATGAGTGAAATCCTAAAGTTATTTATCTTTTTTACTTTTTTTTCACTTATCCTAATACCCTCAAGGTCTACCCATGTTTTTGCAAATGAGGAAGATCTCATATTTTTTTTTATTGTTGAGTAGTATTCTATTGTAGGCACCTGTATATATATATATATATACATACATAAGCACAATAGAAGATGTATATATACACACACACACATTGTGTACATATATATCCTCTTTATCCATTTATATATTGATGGACACTGAGGTTGTCTCCTTATCTTTACCACTGTAAATATTGCTGCTATGAACATAGGGTGCACATATCCTTTTGAATTTATGTTTTCATATTCTTCACATAAATACTCAGAAGTGGAATATCTGGATCATGTGGTAATTCTAGTCTTAATTTTTCCAGGAATCTCCATTACTGTTTTCTGTAGTGGCTATACCAATCTGCATTCCCACTAACAGTATATAAGGGTTCCTTTTCCCCCACATTTTCTCCAACATTTGTTATTGCTTTTAATAACAATCTAGTTTTTATTTTATTTTCTTGTTTTCAAAAATATGTCTTCTGAAAGATTGAAAACCCTTTGAGGCTACTAATACTTCTCAACTTTATTTCTGATGTACAATGAGGACAGGCCTTTTCTCACTTCCTAAATTGAAACTGAGAGATTGGTATGTGATATTCTGTATTAGCAGGTACCTTTCTGTTGAGTTTCCTATCTGTAGTAACTAAATGAGTGGGTGTGCCCCCTTTCTTTTGAACTTTTATGACTAAGTTCTTCCATAAAAGAAGAAGAGAAAAACCAAAAGTCATTTCCAGAGTTACTTGCCTTTGGGTTAATGTTCACAAAGGAGAAAATTGAAGCCCAAGGGAAAATTTTAGAAGGAGAAATGAGTCTATGAAAATAGTTTTGCAGTAAATTGACTTTCTAAGAGTTTATTGATGGAGTTAGAGGGCCCTTCTGGCTCTGATAATAAAGTCAGAGGGTTATGTTTTTTCAATGTTAAAATGGCAAGCTGTTTATCACCCTATATTTAACTGAAATATGTTTTTAGGTTAAAACTGAGAAGGTAGTTGTATGTTTTAATCTAAAGTGAATCGTGTACACCTCCGTATTTACAGAAGTGTGTATTATGCTCACATATACATATGACTGTGCACACACATGTGTACTAACTGCTGCCTCATATACAGCTGTGGCAGGCAGTATTCTGGCTGTGTACCTCAATTTCCTGTTAATAGATACGTTCATTTATAAATGCTTTAAAAATAACTCCTCCACTTCTGTTATGAGAATACTTATTACATTTAGCAAGTCTTATTCCTATTATTTAAAGTTGAAATTAACTTTTTCCTAGTTACTCAGAAACAGCACTGTCAACATTAGTGGTTATCCTCTGTCTCTTTGGGCATGTGTGTCCAGAGGCTAGGCAGGTGTGTAGAGGAATTTTCCAGTTATGAATAAGATGGAGATAAAAGAGAGGTAGCTGAGGAGGAGAAATGAGAAGATAAGAGTAGTCAGTGTACGAAAGCTGAATGGATAAATATGTGATTGAATTGGTTTTATAATTAGATGATTATAGCAAATCAGTGGATTGGAAGGCTCTTTTAGATTTTCTTAAGATAGTGTAGGCAAATAGGAACTTACAGCTTTATATTGGAGAAGAGTTACTGGAGCTAACTATGTCAGTTCAATTCCTGGTAAATGCTATTTCTGTAACTTTTATGTCTTATTCTTCACTTGAGGTTTCGCATTAGTCTGCAAGTGATTTCAGCACTTGGAAATGCGTGAAATTGGGTTTAGCTCATATCTTAGTCATACTTCTTGGATGCTCAGCCCTGAGCAAAGTGCCAAGCACATGGCAGATGCTGAGACTTGTTTGAGTAATGATTCCCCCTTCCTAGTCATAAGTGAAAAGGGAGAAATTAATGACAGTCATAGCTACCCTCCCGGCCAAGGATGATGGCTGTCAACATTGTTCATTTCAGTCGCTCAGTCGTGTCCGACTCTTTGCGACCTCATGAACTGCGGCACACCAGGTCTCCCTGTCCATCACCAACTCCCGGAGTTTACTCACACTCATGTCCATTGAGTTGGTGATGCCATCCAACCATCTCATCCTCTTGTCGTCCCCTTCTGCTCCCGCCTTTAATCATTTCCAGCGTCAGTGTCTTTTTAAATGAGTCAGTTCTTTGCATCGGGTGGCCAGAGTATTGGAGTTTCAGCCTCAGCATCAGTCCTTCTAATGAATATTCAGTGCTGATTTCCTTTAGGATGGACTGGTTGGATCTCCTTGCTGTCAACATTGTTAACATTCAATAAAAATAATACCTTAATGGATAATTTTGCCCTTTTATTAAAAGTTAGTTTCTGAAAGTTTTCTGAAAGAACTTTTTTTTTTTAAATTTGCTTAAGGATGCACACATACCTAGGTTATATACCTTTGGTTTCAAAGGAGTGGTGGGATACAGGTGGGGATGTCACTATCGTTGATGCTCCAACTTCCACACATTTTTTTTCTCCACTTGGAGGAAGCTTCCTTGAAGGTGTAGTCTTGTTCCTGTTCACCACTGTGTGCTCTCCCTTCCCAGTTCATTTGAGAACCACTTCCATGGTAGCCACTGTGACTGGTGGTGTTACTGGGACTGGAAGGAGGTGAGAACTATGGCTTTGACCCATCTGTCCTTGGAACATGAGTTAGAGAAGCTTTTCTGTTGGAAATGCAGAGTGATTAGATGATTCATTTTCTTCAACCGGTGTTATTTGCCTTGGCGCCGCCTACATTCTTGTACTTAACAGATGTCTATAAATGGGACTTATCTTGAAAATTTGTTTTTTATAGTCTTTGTGTCACTTAAAATTATTGTGTTTATATGGAGACACTAAAGTTAATAAGATGAGTTGCTGGACCTTTTTGGAAAAGGTGAAATGGGCAATCGAATGCTGAATTAACCTATTTGAGATTCCTTAAATCATCTTTCATAGGTGTGATTCTCAGCTTGATGAAATTTATGAACTTTGTTTTGTTTTTTTTTAAAGGAAACTAAATGTAGTGAATTCCCAGTGTATCTTAAAAAAATAAAAATTCCAGCTTGATAAACACAAGTTAAACTGAACTTAACTATTTAAACTTTCATTCATTTATCACAATAAGGTGTTATTTGCTCTTCCTTTGCTGATAAGTTTAATACAGAAATAAAGAGGTACTGAAGTTGCATGCTGTAATTGGGTTATAAGGTGGTTATCCAGATCATCAGAATATCCACTAATCTTCTAAACCTAGTATTGAAGTAAAAAGGTAAAAATGTAAATATTTGGAATCCTTAAAATGCATCTTTATCCACTTGTCTGTGACAATCACTGCTTTATGAAATAGACTGGGGGGATACTTGAAATTAGAATGTCAAGAGGGTTCATGACAGAAAGAGAGGAATAAAGGATGGGCATGTCCTGGGATGTAAGTGGATTTTGGAGAAAGTGGTGAGTAACTACTGCTCTTCTTCCCCTTCAGCTCCCTGGTGAAGGACGCTTCTCCTGTCCCTCTGCTGGATGTCACAAACCTTCCTACGCCTCGGAAATTCCTCGACACCTCTCAGTATTCTACTCCTGGAAGCTCCAGTGGTAAGTATTTAACTCTTTAGCCACTCAACTGTTTTTAATGGGCTGCAGTTCCTGGGCCCAGGCCAGGGTGGGCATTCCATCTGAGCAGCGCTGCTTGTTTTCTTTGAAGTTGAATGCTTTTTGATGGTGTGTGTGTGTTTGCTCTGACTCCTGTTGAGCCTATTAGCTTTTGCCCAGCTGCGGCACGTAGCGCATTGCTTGCCGGGCCCATGAGAGCTGTGGAGTGTGTGGCCTCTGCTCTGTAGCTACACTCCTTGTGTTTTCCCAGTGGCCTGTCCACGTCTACCTGCGTGTGCGTGCGTGGACCCCTCAGTGCACTCTGAGGACATAGCCGCAGACTAATCTTGTTTCTTCGTGACCTATCTAATATGGTGCTGAATGAGACAGAGGACAGCCATTTTTGCCGATATTTAAGTTGGGGAGGGAAGTTGTATTTTTGATTATGGAAGCAAAGTTTAAGGGAATCTGGAGTGGCTCAGACCTGCCCCATCGTAGGGTTCAGTTCATCCCAGTTGGGCTCAGAGCTTCTGGGCTGCTGCAAACACCTGTCCTGCCGTTGCAGCCTTGGGTTGGGAAGATGGTGCCTGGATTTTTTTGTGTGTGGGCTCTTCCACAGTTGCCTTGGTATGACCTTACAAATGCTTTTAAAGAAATAGTAATGTCTTTTAAAGGAATAACAATATTATTATTAGTGACTTTCAGATAAAACAGTTCTTACTAGTTCTGTAGTCCTATACAGCTTGAAATGATGAAAAGGTGGAAAAATAATTTGAGTTTAGTCAACGTATTTTTGTGCAACTAACTGAAAGTGTTCCTTTTGAGAGCCTAATAATATACTGTTGCTGACGCATATGTAATTACTTTATAAAATAAAATTTAATTAAAATTTAGGATTATTTAAGCTTGGAATCTTGAAATTTATTGCTTTTACTGTAGGAAAAGTATAAGAATTGCTTTTTTAAGGAGGGTTGATTTTCGTTTTTTATTGAGTTATAGTTGATTTATATTGTTGTCCTAATTTCTGCTGTAAGGAATTGTTTTATAATAAATTTTACTCATTTTTTTAAAACCCAAGCACATATTATGACAGTTTACAAAGCTGTGTATTCAAACTTCTTCCTGGAGTAAAAGGTTTTGTTTTCTGCCCCCTCTCTTTGCTATACCGCTGTTCTGTGAGTTTTGACACTGCTTTGAGCTGTTGTAGAGTGTGGAATTATGATCCAGAAAATACATTTATACTCTTGATTTATATTTTACCTCTGCCTTTGGTGGAAATTACCAATTGTTAGATCTTTGTCTCTTTATAATGTGAATTGCCACTTAGCCCGGTTATATCAATTTAGGTAAATATTGCTGAGTCAGTGGCCAAGTGAAATAAAAATTTTAATTGTTCATGAAGAGATGATGGGGCAGGCGTTTTGAAAATGAAAAGCATAAATACCAAATAAGCTGAAAAAAGGCCAGTGATGGCAAATTTCAGTGGAAGCTAATTCTGCAACATCTATTACTTTTAATGAGACAGCTTTTCCTTTCTGTGCACTTTTTCTGTCAGGCCCTGCAGTTAGCCTTTATCACTGAGTGGAGCTCATGGTGACACTTTGACTTCAGCCATCTGTCCGTTCGTTTTTGGGAATGACTCTGGAAGAACTGCGTGATAGATTAGTAGAGCTTGGGACCATTATGAAGATGGCTTGTAGATCTGGCCACAAAACTTTCTTTTTAGAAGGGCTCATTTCCTTTTCTGTTTGGAAGACTGATCTCTTGATTTTTCTGGGGGTGACTGAAAAAGAAGATAGTTATTGATTAAAGTCAATAGTAACAGTAGTTAACATGTGCTTAGTATACCTTCTATCTGTGAAACAGTAGAAATAAGTGCTTTACATGAATTAACTCATGAAGTCCTTCAGTGATCTTAGGAGAGAGGCTCCCCATTTTACAGGTGAGAAAAGCAAGACTGAGGATGGTTAATGATAGATTTAAGTTGATGCAGCTGACACATAATAGCGCTTGTGATTTCACATCAGGAGCTGGGTTCCAAAGCATGCACAGTTTTCCTGCAAATAAACTAGATACTAGATTTCTGTCACTGCTTCAACAGATTACCACAGGAAACATGTATCATCCTATAGTTTTGTAGGTTAAAAGTCCAGTATGGGTCTCACTGAGCTAAAATGAAGGTTGTGGACAGCGCTGTGTTCCTACCAGAAGTTCTGCAGGAGAATCCATTTCCTTGCCTTTACGTGCTCTTAGAGGCTCTTGCTTTCCTTGACTTGTGGCAGGCTCCCTTTCTCCACTGCCAGGGACAGTGGGTCACATTCTTCTCACCTTATACCTCTCTGACCCACTCTTCTGCTTCCTTCTTCCTCTCTTGAGGGACCATGTGATTAAATTGATTCCCACCCGGATAACCCAGGATCTTTTCTCTTTCTCAATATCCTTAACCTGAATCACATGTAGAGTCTCCTTTGTCATGTAAAGTAACATATCCACAGATTCTGGGGATTAGTTCATGAATATCTTTCATGGGCTTCCCCGGTGATGGCTCAGTGGTGCAGAATCTGCCTGCCAATGCAGGAGATGGGGCTCCGATCCCTGAGCCAGGAAGATCCCCTGAACAAGGAAATGACAACCCTCTAGAGCCAGTATTCTTATCTGGGAAATCCAATGGACAGAGGAGCCTGGTGGGCTACAGTCCATGGGGTTGCAAAAGTGTCAGACATGACTTAGTGACTAAGTAACAACAATGTTTCAGGGCCCATTCTACTTGTCACAGTCTGCAAGTACTTATTTTCTGACCTAAGTTATTTTTAGAAGCCAATATATAAAAAATTTGACTTTCTTGAAATGATGTGTGAAGTCTTTGCAGTTCTCGTTTTTAGGACGATATTAATCTGGGTCACATTATTAAAGGGGATTGTATAAATGAGAAAAATGTAAATTATGTAGAGAACTGCATAAAATGTTTCTAATAAGTACATATAAAAGTGTGGGGCTGATGAAATATACTGTAATAAAGGACAGAAATTTTGTCTTATTCTAAATAATGGACAGTAAGTCCTGAGAATCTATTTGTGAAGTGCTCTGCAAGTCAGCCTAGAAAGTAATAGTCTTTTTCAGCAGGGAATTTAGCATAGGCTCTTAAAGCTCCCTTCTCATCTTGTGAAATAGTAGGATTGAGGGTGTAATCCATTAGAGCTGACATTTCTATAGAGGAAGTTGCAGTAGGGAACCCCTGGGTAAAACAGATCTCCCATCGGGGTGCCATAAATTAAAGATGCAGGTGATTTCTGAGAACTTTCAGACTATTAATTACATGAGAATTTTGGTGGCTTGTGAATGAGTGATTTTTCAAATGTCTTATTTAGAGAGAGAGTTGTGAGTGACTTTTATGTGAGAGGTGTTCTATCATAGTTTACATGTTGCCGTTAGTAAGATACTATACATCATTCACCTGATGGAGCGGTCCTAAGAGGTCACTGGGGCAGGTACTGTTACTGTCATGATGATTATTATATTTATGTCATGTTTAAGTGTATTGCCAGATATTTAAGTTATCATACAATTGTATGGAATTATCTGTCTGTGCATCATCTAATTAAAAATAAAACTTCTAATTATAAGATGCAAATTCCAGGCACAGATTGGCAGAAGCAAGTAACATATAAAGAGAAAAATGATTAGCATTCACTTAATTTTCCTACGTGATCATGAAGAAAAGCAATGGCGTAATAAAGAACTGGGCAAATGGGCAATTCACAGAAGAGTCTATATACATGGAAAGATGGGCATTTATCTGACAGATGTTAAAATATCAAGAATATATAAAGAATCCCTATAAATCAGTAAGATAAACAAGTAGAAAAATAAAAATGTGAGCAGGCAGTTTGCATAAAGGGACAGCTATATTAGTCAATATATGAAAAACTGCTTATACTCTCTAGTTAATCAAGTGTTATTTTAAAATAATACGAAAAATCAAATGTCATTTTATGAATATGGAAGCTGAATTCAGGGATGCTGAGTGATTGGTCCAGGTTCAACCAAAAAGGTATTTGCTGGAGACTGGCCTCATACTGTCCTCACTCTAAATATGTAAAGGATGTATTTTGCAAGCATTTTTTTTCCTATTATTCTCATCAGTCATAGTATTTTATAATGTACAGGGAAACTAATGTCTAATTTAGATGTAGTCATTCAACTATAACTTAAGACAGTCACTAAATTGTGTCTGACTCTTTGCGACCTCAAGGACTGTAGCCTGCCATGCTCCATTGTCCGTGGAATTTTTTAGCAAGAATACTGGGGTATGTTGCCATTTCCTTCTCTAGGAGATTTTCCAGATCAGGGATAGAACCCACATCTCCTGCATCTTCTGCATTGGTAGGCGGATTCTTTACCACTGAGTCACCTGGGAAGCCCAATACATACAACCTACATTTACACATGTACAACATGTATACCCTTATATGTACACACTCATAATAAAAGTATGAAAACAAACAGGAAAAAGATACAGAATATAAGTACAGGAATACCTCAGAGATATTGTGGGTTTGGTTCCAGACCACCACAATAAAGAGAGTCACAGGTATCTTTTGGCTTCCCAGCGCATATATGTTAAATTTATACTATATGTAGTGTAAATGCTATGTAAATAGTTGACAGCATGCATCTGAGTTCAAGTTTTGATTTTGGGAATTTTCTGGAATTTATTTTCTATCCACGGTTAGCTGAATTTGGATGTGAAACTCATGGATATGGAGTGCCAACTTATTTGTCTTTATCCATTTAAAAATTTTATTTTTAATCTATTAATATCCATTAATGGATTTCTTAATATTGAACCAATTTCTCATTACTAGAATAAATTGCCCTTGATCATACTGTATTATTTTCTCAATGTAGTATTGAATTCTGTCTGCTAATATTTTATTTAGGAGTTTTGCATCATGTTCATGAGTAATAGTGGCCTGTGGTCCAAATCATACTAGATTTTGGTT